TTATTAGGCAGTGATGAAATACATCTTATTAGGCAGTGATGAAATACATCTTATTAGGCAGTTCTGAAATACATATTATTAGGCAGTTCTGAAATACATCTTATTAGGCAGTGATGAAATACATCTTATTAGGCAGTGCTGAAATAAATCTCATTAGGCAGTGATGAAATACATCTTATTAGGCAGTGCTGAAATACATCTTATTAGGCAGTGATGAAATACATCTTATTAGGCAGTGCTGAAATACATCTCATTAGGCAGTGATGAAATACATCTTATTAGGCACTGCTGAAATACATCTTATTAGGCAGTGATGAAATACATCTTATTAGGCAGTGCTGAAATACATCTCAATAGCCTGTGCGAAAATACATCTCGTTATACAGTTCTGAAGACATCTCATTAGCCAGTGATGAAATAAATCTAATTAGCCTGTTCTGAAATACAACTCATTAGCCAGTGCTGAAATACAACTCATTAGCCAGTGCTGAAATACATTTCATTAGGAAGTGCGTAAATAATTCTCATTAGGCAACACAGCATCCGATTAGGCAATGCTAAACGATCCTTACCACAATCCTAACCTTAGAAAAACTAACAATAGTAACACTAACAATATTAACGTTTACCATAATAACACTAACAATAGTAACACAAATCGTAGTAACAATAGCCTCAGTAACACTAACCAAGGTAACACTAACCATAGTAGCACTAACCATAGTAATACTAATTATTGTAAAATAACCATAGTAACACTTAACTAAGTAACACTAATCATAATTAGCCTAACCATAGTAAAAGTAAGCATAGTAATATTACCCATAGCAATACTAACCATAGTAGCCCTAACCCTAGTAACACTAAGAATAGTAAAAATAACCATAGAAAATCTAACCATTGGAACACTAAGCATAGCAATACTAGCCATAGCAATACTAACCATAATAATACTAACCATAGTAACACTAGCTTTAGTAACACTAGCCATAGTAACACTAGCCTTAGTAACACTAGCCATAGTAACACTAGCCTTAGTAACACTAGCCATAGTAACACTAGCCTTAGTAACACTAGCCTTAGTAACACTAGCCAAATATTAACACTAGCCTTAGTAATACTAGCCATAGTAACACTAGCCTTGGTAACACTAGCCATAGTAACACTAGCCTTAGTAACACTAGCCTTAGTAACACTAGCCAAATAGAAACACTAGCCTTAGTAACACTAGCCATAGTAACACTAGCCTTAGTAACACTAGCCATAGTAACACTAGCCTTAGTAACACTAGCCTTAGTAACACTAGCCAAATAGTAACACTAGCCTTAGTAACACTAGCCATAGTAACACTAGCCTTAGTAACACTAGCCATAGTAACACTAGCCTTAGTAACACTAACCATAGTAACACTAGCCTTAGTAACACTAGCCTTAGTAACACTAGCCTTAGTAACACAAATCTTAGTAAAAATAACAGTAACACTAACCATAGTAACACTAAACACACTAATATTAACAATACTACCACTAAACATATTAACACTAACCATAGTAACACGAACCATTGTAACACTAACCATGTTAAGAGTAACTAACGTAATACTAACTTTAGAAACATTACCGTAACTACCGTAACTAGGGCATAGCATCATACTTTGGTCATGGTGAAGAAAATAGAAACACATGGTGCATTATTAAAGGCTGAGGAAACAAGACTGAAGCCTTTAAGAGCAAAAATGCAGAGACAACAAAGCAGCTGATATTTAGTTGACAGGAAATATCAGGCTTATTGAATGAAGTTGTGGACATCGAAAAATCGAATGTTGATTAAATATAAGCTAAAAAGTAGTTCAATAATTGTTTTAAAGTAAGAAAAACTGAAATGCATATTTCCCTAAGGAAGTGATTTCATTCAACTTTTAATGGGTGAAAAGAGGATTCTAATACGCGGTTCGCTTGTCAAAGCAAAATTAATGATACTGGCTTTTATGCTTAAGTCAAAGGAATGGGTTTTTGAGGGGATGACTATTTTAACCATGGGGGGTGTTGACCAGGGATCTCACACCTTGGGAAATTTCCCAAGATCTCGGGAATTCCCCCCGGGATATGGGGAATAATTTTGAAAATTAGGCAAAACCTTGGGAAATCTTAACCGGAGGAACGATTTTTTAAAAATCTTTTTTTTCGAAAAACCCAAACAATATATGTGATTAAATTTTAATTGAAAATAAAGGAACATAATTTTTAAAGTAACGAGGAAAATATTAATTGTAATAATTCTTCTCTGCATAACAAATGGTTTTAATTTCTAAAACCCTCATAAAATAAATAATAAATCTTCTGAAATTAAAGTTTAAAACATTGTGAAAAGTATGAAAAAGTAACAGTTAACAATTTCAATTTTTTTTTTTTACTTTGTAGATTTACAAACTACATCAACGGGTTGAATATTGTTCAAATTTACCGTGTACATCATATGCATAGGACAGTCTCAACAATAAATAAACTGATCATAAATCTTAAAATTTCAAAGGAAGTCAATTTATACTATTAATATAGAATCTGGGAAAAAGGGGGGGGGGGGTGGGGGGTAGGAACGGAATGGGAAACTTTATTGTTAGGCTATTAGACATTAGCAATAATAGAAACCATACGAAACAATGTACGAGCCAAAAAGTGAATGAGCAGGCGATGTATTCACCAAAACTGGAAAAATGAAAGACAAAATGTAAATGGTATAATAAAAAATTCAACTTAGAATGGCTGAAAGATCCTGAATTCAAGCACCGGCCCGCGGCAGGACAAGGACAACGGCTGAAGGATCCTGTATTCAAGGACTGGCTGCAGCAGGACAAGGACAACGCAGATTCTATCTGTTGAAAATGTTGAAAACTCACAATGAAAACTACAAAAGGGTCCTGTATTCAAGGACTGGCTGCAGCAGGACAAGGACAACGCAGATTCTATCTGTTGAAAATGTTGAAAACTCACAATGAAAACTACAAAAGGATCCTGTATTCAAGGACTGGCTGCAGCAGGACAAATGTTGAAAACTCACAATGAAAACTACAAAAGGGTCCTGTATTCAAGGACTGGCTGCAGCAGGACAAATGTTGAAAACTCACAATGAAAACTACAAAAGGATCCTGTATTCAAGGACTGGCTGCAGCAGGACAAATGTTGAAAACTCACAATGAAAACTACAAAAGGGTCCTGTATTCAAGGACTGGCTGCAGCAGGACAAATGTTGAAAACTCACAATGAAAACTACAAAAGTCCTCATTAATGAAACATAAACACTTGGTGAAACGTCAAAATAATTGAAATGCATAAATAAAGGGTTGAGATTTTTTTCAAATTTATTTCATAGTGAAAACATTGTATTGTATATACAGTATTAAATTTATTTCTTGAACATCGGTGAGACAAAATCAATGAAACTCCAACGGTGAGCCAACATTGCCAATCAAGCCGCCATTCATGCCAATTAGTCATAGGAGAGTCGAAACACCAGACATAAAATGTCACGATTTTCAATCAATAATCTATAGTTAAAATTGATGCATTTCAATTACTACTACAAAGTGTGTTTGATTAGATGAAAAAGAAAAAAATATTCGTGGACAACCTATGATGCATTTGTAAACAATCCAGCTTAATTTTCATCAATTGGAAAAAAAATGTTTGTAGATTGACACAGGTAATTAAGATATTAAAATTATAGATTATAGGATTATAACTGAAAAGTTCATTTAAGCGTTTTGTTTCAAAAAAAAATTTGTGTAATGTAAATTTACAATTAAAATAAAAATACTTATTGTCTTCATAATGATTAAATAATATCATTTCATTTTAACTACAAATATTATTATTAAATTCTGCTTAATTGCTCTGAAAACCTCATAACTAATCAACAGACTTGCAATAAGAAAAAACAATTTTTGATGAGCTACATTTTCCCATTTAAAAGGAACTCTATGTTGATTAGCCTTGTGAGTGTGAGCTATGTTTTCAAGTGACTTCTATTACGCATGTTTTGTTGATGATATTTTTACCAGAGAATTTGGAGACAATATTTTGTAGCCTTACTCCAGTGTATATATACATTTGAATTATAAATTAAAAGAAATTAATTTTTTTTAAAATATATTTATTGTGAAAAAGATTTTTTTTAAAAATGTATTATTAAACACATTTCATTCAATTACTGTACCATGATGCAATACATTAATTCAAGCTATTGATGCAATACATTAATTCGAGCTATGGATACAATACATTAATTCGAGCTATTGATACAATACATTAATTAGGGCTATTGATACAATACATTAATTCTAGCTATTGATTCATTGCATTAATTTGAGCTATTGATTCAATACATTAATTCGAGCTATTGATACAATCCATTAATTCGATCTATTGTTACAATACATTAATTCAAGCTATTGATACATTACATTAATTCCAGCTATTGATACAATACATTAATTCAATCTATTAATACATTAATTATATAGAAATACCCTTTACAAAAACTCTTATTTGTTTTATGATCTTAGGAAATCTTGGGAATTTGTTGGACCAAATCTTGGGAATGTTTTAAAAAGTGAGTGGCAGCTCTGGTTTGACCACGATCGCACCTACTGGGATGGGAATGGGGAGTGTTGATAATTAATGAAATAATCTGAACAGTTACTCCGAACTTTCACATTTCTATCATATAAAAAAAATAATTATTATATGCTCATATCAAAAACACATATCATTATCAAGTAATAGTATTGAAATAATACGTTTCTCCACATTTAAGCATTACATTAAAACATAAACCAAAAAATTAATCGAATATTCCGTTAAATACTTTAAAGAATTTGAGAACCACTATAATAATAGTCGCCGCTTGGTCTTCGTATGCGCATGCGCGGAACTGTATCTGTCACGTGTCAATTTTGTGTGTGCTTTATATAGAGCTGATTTGATTTGAGAAAACCATCTGGTCTGGTATCCAGCGGATTAATCAAGGTGATGGAGATGAAGTTCTATAGGATGGTGCCGTTCTCGATATTAACCATCGTGTTGCTTATGGACTGGACAGCTGGATACAGTGGTACAGCGGGCATCAGAAGGACAGCGGCCCCCACAAAAGAGACTAAGTGGGACGGTAAGTCTTTAATATAACAGACATTAAGTAATGGTATCTCTGCACAAGGAAGTGTGAAGTGTGAAAAGCGTGGCATTCTGCTCGAGGCACTACTTTTTCAAATTTTGATATATAAAATGCAACGAAAGCTCTCACACTGTGGCCACCCTAAGATGTACGAAAGAATTTCTTTTCGCAAATAACTCGATAATTTGTAGTCGACGACCTCTTGCGTTGAATGGTCCAAACACACCATAGCATGTGATCAGTTTTACCATAAAAAATATAAATTTATACATTAATTTTAAAACCGCAAGACCAATATTTAAATACATTAGGGAAAACATAAGTCAGCCCCCTTTTGCACGGTTCCTAATAGGCGTGTTAGCCTTTCATTATGTCTGTGATAGTCCGGCGTTTAAATATCAGTTGAACAGATATGTCTTAACAATTAAGTGGTATTTAATATCGGTGAATGATGTCTCAGTGTAACCTAATTATTCAATATAGGGGAAATATTTCTCAAAGTAACCTAGTGATTCAATAATGGTGAATGCTGTCTTAAAGTAACCCAGTTATTCAATAGTGGTGAATGTTGTCTTAAAGTAACCCAGTTATTCAATAGTGGTGAATGTTGTCTTAAAGTAACCCAGTTATTCAATAGTGGTGAATGTTGTCTTAAAGTAACCCAGTTATTCAATAGTGGTGAATGTTGTCTTAAAGTAACCCAGTTATTCAATAGTGGTGAATGTTGTCTTAAAGTAACCCAGTTATTCAATAGTGGTGAATGCTGTCTTAAAGTAACCCAGTTAGTCAATATTGGTGAATGTTGTCTTAAAGTAACCCAGTTATTCAGTAATGGTGAACCCTGTCTTAAAGTAACCCAGTTATTCCATATTGGGGAATTATATATGAAAGCAATCTTGTTTCGTTTAAAAAAAATAATTTTACAATTATTTTTAAATAAAACAATCCTAATTTATTCTTTGGTATTAATAATCTTTTTTTAAAAATCTACAGTTCATAGTATAGCTGGCTGGCTCGGTAAACAAATAGTACCACAGCTAACCTTGAACATATGTCCACCCCTTTGCTGGAATGACCTGGCTAGCGTCTTATCGAAGATTCCACAAGACGTATTAAACAAAGTCACAACGCTATGTAAGGGCAGCAGTTCCCAGTGTCAAACTGTCAAAAATGTTGTAGAGGAGTTTAAATCGTATCCAGTTACCGTCATCACTAAAGTTGTTCAAATTTGTACACAGGATCCAGACGTCTGCACATTTATCTTGGCACGACTGACTCCTCTTGGACATTTACCGCTCTCATTTGTCCAGACTGCCATCGACCTCTGTGAAAAGGCACAACTCAAGTGTAAAGAAAGTCTTATCGAATTTCTCTCAGTTCAAGAAAGTAAAAAAAAACTCACCCAAGCAGTCAAACCTGACATTCAGGCAACAGAGGAGACGCAAACATCCAGCCAGCCTTCAAAAGGGGCACCAAACTCGTCGCACGGGATCAAAGCACTCGTTTTCTTAAACGTCCTGTGGTTCCCACTTATCATGGCCATTGACAGATATGGTATATAAAAACGAGACTCTGATGACGTTTCTTTGATATTCACTTTCTTATGGATGTCAGAGTACGTTTAAAAAAAATATTTACAACTTTCTTTTCTAATGAAAGATTTTCAAAATTTATTTTTATTTTTGTTCTCAAAACCTCCTTTGAGATAAAATTGGATGGACAGTACTAACAGAGCTACATTCTGTGCAAGATGTTTAATGTAAGTCTAATCAAGCAGTGAAGCCTGCATTTATAACGGCTGGAGTGGAAAAAGCCCGTGGGTTGTTCACATCAATCAAAACCGTCTCATTAAACGACCGTTCTCGTCAATTTTCACAGTCAACAATGGAGAGGAGCAGTTCCAGCGAGCCTTCAAAGGAGTGAAGTTCAAGCCAGTCTTTAAAGGGGCGAAGTTCCAGCTAGCCTTCAAAGAGCCTTCAAAAGGCGAAGTTCCAGCCAGCCTTTAAAGGGGCGAATTTCCAGCCAGCCTTCAAAGGGGCGAAGTTCGAGCCAGCCTTCAAAGAGGCTAATTTCCAGCCAGCCTTCAAAGGGGCGAAGTTCCAGCCAGCCTTCAAAGGGGCGAAGTTCCACCCAGCCTTCATAGAGGCAAAGTTCCAGCCAGCCTCCAAAAGCCGCAAACATCCAGCCAGCCATCAAAAGGGGAACCCAAGTCATCGCATTGGATCAAAGCAATCGTTTTCTAAAACGTCCTGTGCTTCCCACTTATCCTGGCCATTGACAGATATGGTATATAAGAACGAGACTCTGATGACCTTTCTTTGATTTTCACTTTCTTATGGATTTCAGTGTACTTTTTTTAATGTTTACAACTTTCTTTTCTAATGAAGGGTTTTCAAATTGTAATTTTTATTGTTGTTGTCAAAACGGCTCTTGAGCTAAAAGTGGATGGACAGTTCTAACAGAGCTACTTTCTTGACACCGATCAAAACCATCTCATTGAACGACCGTTCTCGTCATGTTTCACAGGCAACAGTTAAGAGGCGAAGTTCCAGCCAGCCTTCAAAGGGGCGAAGATGAAGACAGCTTTTAAAGTGGAGAAGTTCCAGCCATCCTTTAAAGTGGCGAAGTTCCAGCAAGCCTTTAATTAAAGGGGCGAAGTTCCAGCCAGCCTTCAAAGGTCAAAGTTCCATTCAGCCTTTAATGGGGCGAGGTTCCAGCCAGCCTTCAAAGAGGCGAAGTTCCAGCCAACCTTCAAAGGGGAAAAGTTCGAGCCAGCCTTCAAAGGGGCAAAGTTCGAGCCAGCCTTGAAAGGGGCGAAGTTCCAGCCAGCCTTCAAAGGGGCGAAATTCCAGCCAGACTTCAAAGGGGCGAAGTTCCAGCCAGCATTCAAAGGGCGAAGTTCCAGCCAGCCTTCAAACGGGCGAAGTTCTAGCCAGCCTTCAAAGGGGCGAAGTTCCAGCCAGCCTTCAAAGGGGCGAAGTTCGAGCCAGCCTTCAACGGTGCGATGTTCTAGCCAGCCTTCAAATGGGCGAAGTTCCAGCCAGCCTTCTAAAGGGGAACTCAACTCGTCACACGTAATCAAAGCCCTCGCTTTTTTAAACGTCCTGTTGCTCCCAATCATCCTGGCCATTTATAGACATGGTTAATAAGAACAAGACTGATGACGTTTCTTTGTATATAAATTCACTTTGTTATTGATTTTAATTTTTTTATTTATGTTTACATCTTTCTTTTCTAATGAAAATGTTTCAACGTTAATTTTTTTTCCAAATTATTAATAATAAATTGCAAATTGTTTACGCCTAATCTTCAATGAAAGAAATAGATCACGACTGTTTTAATTTGACTGAATATTCGATAAACAATGTCATACATGTCGTAAGTTATTACCTGTAATTTTAAGTAACAATTTTAGAAAGTTATTGCTTCCAGCAATGTGCAACAATTTGAATTGTTCAAAATATGCCTAAGACAGTGATCCTATAGCATCCACTGGTAGAGTTCAGGCGGTTGAGGTGAATGAGTTGGTTAAGTTAGTTTAGGTGGTTGAGTTATTTGACGTGACTGAAGTTGTTGAGGTGACTGAATTGGTTGAGAAGATTGAAATGGTTGAGGTGACTGAAGTGATTGAGATGACTGAAGTGGTTGATGTGACTGAAGTTGTTGAGGTGATTGAAGTTGTTGAGGTGACTGAATTGGTTGAGAAGATTGAAATGGTTGAGGTGACTGAAGTGGATGAGGTGACTGAAGTGATTGAGATGACTGAAGTGGTTGATGTGACTGAAGTTGTTGAGGTGACTGAAGTGGTTGAGGTGACTGAAGTGGATGAGGTGACTGAAGTTGTTGAGGTGACTGAAGTGGATGAGGTGACTGAAATTGTTGAGGTGACTGAAGTGGATGAGGTGACTGAAGTTGTTGAGGTGACTGAAGTGGTTGAGGTGATTGAAATGGTTGAGGTGACTGAAGTGGATGAGGTGACTGAAGTTGTTGAGGTGACTGAAGTGGTTGAGAAGATTGAAATGGTTGAGGTGACTGAAGTGGTTGAGGTGATTGAAGTGGTTAAGGTGACTGAAGTGGTTGAGAAGATTGAAGTTGTTGAGGTGACTGAGGGGGTTAAGGTGGTTGATATGACTGAGGTAGTTGATATAGTTGAGGTGATTGAGTTAGTTCATGTGGTTGGGTTATTTGAGATGACTGAAGTGGTTGAGGTGACTGAAGTGGTTGAGGTGACTGAGGAGGTTGAGGTGGTTGATGTGACTGAGGTGTTTGAGATAGTGGAGGTGATTGAGATAGTTCATGTGGTTGGGTTAGTTTAGCTGGTTGAGGTATATCACTCTATTTCTTATTTAAACAACAAAAAAACACGGAATAAATAAATAAAACAAATAAACATTAGTACATATAAATACATTCAGGTACACATAGATACAAGCTGTAAAGATGTACATCTTTCACACACAAAATGGGAAGACATTTTCTCATACTATAATTGATCAATGCACGTTTGTCTTAACACCAATCTACGTTCTGTGTCAGGATGTCTTAACACCAATCTACGTTCTGTGTCAGGATGTCTTAACACCAATCTACGTTCTGTGTCAGGATGTCTTAACACCAATCTACGTTCTGTGTCAGGATGTCTTAACACCAATCTACGTTCTGTGTCAGGATGTCTTAACACCAATCTACGTTCTGTGTTAGGCAAAGGTTTTAGTAAACATTATGGGAGATAGGGCCTTTTTACTTAAGTATTAAATTATATAGCATCAAATGCAACAAGGATGTTAAAACATCTTAAAATCGAATTATTGAATTTAAAAAAAAATTCTTCATAATTTTTAGCATTAACTGTACAGAATTTAACTTGGAAAAGACGAATACACCAATGCTAACATAGTGGATTTGGTGGAAACAACACTCAAGGACGCAAACAATAATCCTGATTAATGTTTTTTCTTTGGTGTGAGTTTGAATTGGGGGGGGGGGCGACGACGAGGGATTTGAATTTATATCTTTACAAAACTTTCTTCATACAATAATAAATTAAATTATAAACAGTTGAAGTATTGTGTAGGTATCTTTATTCTGTCTCATTATCGTCAGAAAAATTGTATAAAATAGTCCGTGAAATCGTGGGACTATTTCCTAAATAAGAATGCAATTTAAACAAAACCCTAATGTTGTACCTCAAATCTACAACATTTAGATCAACATTTCCCAGAATTCAATTCTACGGTGCATTTCATAAACTAATTGAAGGAAAAAAAATACCGAAAAAAAAAACAACAAACAAACACAAAATAAATATAGCCGAAGATTTTTTAACGAGTTTTTTCTCATGGCATCTCTTTTACATTTCCAAAATTGAGCTAGATATCTAAAAACACAGTCAAAATCATTTTGCACTATTAAACAAAATGGTTAGCGAAAATTTGATCGAAAGAATTTTCGTAGACGGTAAATTGATCGAACGGAAATTTGGTCGAATCTTTTTTATCAGTTCACACGTTAGGAAAAAATAAACTTATTAGACTTATCCCATTAAGTGGCGTACATAATTGATGCCTTGGCGTTCCTGGATGTACTATTTAACGATCCAACTAAATGAAATCACACTTCGAGTGGGGGAGGGGGGGTAACATTTTTGTGACTATGTGTGACGAGGGGGAGGGGGAGCCTTAAGCAGTGTGACGTCACATGAAAAACGGAATAATAAAGTAAAGAATTGCCCTTTATTACCCTAAATTACAACGAGACATTTGTTGAGTTTATTATTTCATACAAGAATTATTATCATATATTTCAACTACGATCACTGAGAAAAGCACTAGGTTGGCCTCTGATCGAGTCACAGGCCACCACTGAGGAGAAAATGGCTGTAGTGGCATACTGACAGTAAGAGAATTTATGTCAAAATGTGTAGACGAGAGTCATATAATTTAGACTACCATGTGAAATTGGAAGGAACGAAAAAAAATGGTTGATCAAGGGCAGGGCGATCTTAGTAACTGCTCCAGGGCAGGGATACTTAACCTTCCTGCATCACTGCAGCCCCACACCATTTTAAACATCCCCCAACCCACCGTATAGATTATATGGTAATACAATTTAAATATAAAAAAATAATTACATAATTTCGTTATCATAGTTTTATTTCTTTAATTAACTTTTTATAAAGAAAGAAAAAATTACCAATTCAAGTAATGTGCAAACAAAATTCACCAGAAAACATTTACTGCTGCTAATCAAAATGCACAACAACTGATTGGTAAAAAAAAAAAAAAGCATAAGCTAGCAAATGCAGCAAATATAATTTTCTGGTCTTCGACACCTCAGGGCTGGATAGGTACTTTTACTCTTGGCTAAGTGCCCTGTTATAGTGAAATTTCGGACACAGGCGCAGTAATTAGATATCCATGGTTGGTGAATTTGTCAATGGTTTGTAGAGGACAGTAGTGGACACAGGGAATTTTTATAAGGAGGGGGGGGTAGTAGCACATATTTCTGACGTTTTATTTAAGGGGGGGGGGGGTCTAACATTTTGTAACGTTTTGGGACAAAGGGGGAGGGGGTTAAAAATTGTTCAAATTTGCTTGACGTCGTTTAAAGGGGGGGGGGTCTAACATTTTGTAACGTTTTGTGACAAAGGGGGAGGGGGTTAAAAATTGTTCAAATTTGCTTGACGTCGTTTAATGATGGCCCTAATTGGAAAAAAGAATAAACACATGTTGTAGTGTAAGTATAATATTAATAATGATAGAAGCCTTTAAACCTAGTGAAATTCTTTAAACAAATGCTCTGACAATTTTCCCAAATATCAGAGGGTGACAATTAATTTTCGATTGTTTTGTAAACTTGTTTTAATGAATCTGACTGTAGCCGTAGTCTTTCACCCTTGGCAGTTCCATGAGGTAAACATGAATTTGTAATTTCTTTCTCTTAAAATAATAAAACACTCTAGAATAATTTTTTTTTAAATAAAAAAAAAGAAGGTTTTAAAAATAGTATCATTTTTTTTTTTTTTAAATGTTGTGCCCGCGACCAAGCACGACCTACTAGAACTGACCTACTCATACACGTTCTCGTCATCCATGTTGTTTTCTTGTCGCAACTCGAATTGAGCTAGCTGCTTTCATATAATAATCACACTTATTATTATTATTTTAAAATCAAAATTGAGTTTAGAAAACATCGAAATTAACTTCGATTAATCCCCGACAGGGTTGCCAACCGTCCGAAATCTACGGACAGTCCGTAAAGATTTGTCGTAAAATTGCCTGTCCGTAAAATTCCGTTAAAAAATGAAGACGTCCGTAAAAAAATCGACAAGACATGGAATCTCAACGTTAACCCCCCCCCCCCCCCCCTTGTCAATCAGGTTGGTGATCTCTGGTTTCTGGAGTCAAATTTTAATGTTTAAATTGGTTTAGTGGCATCCCGCGCTCTATCAATAAACTGTAAGAGCTTTCTGGACAGCTAGGCTCGCGCGGCGAGACGCATCGCGGCAAGTTGGACTTGTTTCGACAGATCGTTACGTCACAATTACGCATAAATTATGACGACATAAATATAACAATAGTATCTGTTTTTAAAAAAATGGCGGTGAAGATGAATACAAGCGAAGACGATAGCCGCAGTGAGAATGTGAATTAAAAGTGGAAAATTTTGTCGCAAGAAAAAACTTGCCACTAAGTTTAATGGACGACATCTCGGGAAATGTTGCAGATTGGTTTCCTGATTCAAAAATCGCTAAATATTTCAGCTCTAAACGAACAAAGGGAGCCAAAAATGCCGTGCTTTTTCGTTTCAGAAGTGTACAACCAAATATATTTCATATACACTGCATATGCCATGGAGCTGCTCTATGTGCAGCTGATGCATGTAAAATATTTCCTAAATTTATGGAACAGCTATGCAGAGACATTCACAGCCATTTTTCACATAGTTGCAAAAGATTACAGTTGTACAAAGAGTTTCAAGAGTTCGTGAAAGCAGACACTCTACGTTTAGTGCAGCTGTGTTCCACGAGATGGTTGAGCCTGTTGGAGTGTAGTAATCATATTGTTAACTAATATGATGCACTTGCAAACTATTTTCCATCACGTGATGAGTGTGACCGGTTGATTACAGTGAATAGATTAGCACTCAATTGCAAAATCCTGTAGTT